GCTGTCATGTTAAACTTATATTAAAGTTTTTCTTCATTACCCATTTAAGCCGTCTCCAGCCATTATTTATGTATTTTGTTAATATTCAGTGTACCATCTGTTAACAATAGAGAACACATGCAATTTATTAGAGCTGATTATAACTGAACAGTATATTTAACTAGCTATACCAATTACCATGCTGATTTTTAGTTATGATCTGTGTAGGTAACTTGCATTGATCACTAGTTAATATTAATTGATAAATAACTCGCATCTATGTCTTTTTTTCCCTAGGCTGTTTACTATTCTCTCATTCTATTATTTTATGTAAATAATATTCATATATGATATTTTGAAGTACAAACAAATCTTTGTTTCAAGGCTTTACTAGAAGAGAGAGAACAGAGGATTAGAGAAATAGAAAGTGACATGTTGGATGTTAACCAGATTTTTCGTGATCTAGCCTCAATGGTTCATGAACAAGGAGAAGTAATAAGTAAGAGACAAGTTACCATAACTGTATTATTCATTAAATCTCTGATACTATTGTCTAATTATAAAACTTTGCAAGCTATTCTTACAAACTTTAATAGTTATTAATTATATTTACTTAAGTGACTGAAGTTTTCTTTATTGATTTTACACATTAGAAAACGTTACTACCAAAAACATTAAACATGTAATATTAAAAAACTTCATACAAGTATATTATAAAAGCTCTAACTGATATAAAGATTACAAATACATTATAAAATCAACAAGTTTTTTTGTGTCTGTAATAAATGGCCTTAGCATAAATTAGATAGTATAAACTGTTGAATATGTTTTAGAGACCAAAATACTTTTACAGTTAATCATTGCAATTTAGTAGAATGAAGAAATTGTTCAAAATCTTGAAAGTATATGCTCATTTATGAAATAATCAGAATGTGCACAAAAGATCTTGAGCAAAGCATGTAACAATTACTAAAGCCCTTGTGGTTTTAAGATGTAAAATTGTTAACTCCCACACACACATTTATTGATATGATAGACCTTGCTGATAGAAATGGTCCAAGTGACTGAAGACTCAATTGTAAGTTTTTTGTTTAGGGAATAGTTTATATTATAACTGTTATAAACCATTCCAAAGCAACAGTAAAGTACACACTTGTAATGGTTAGATAAAAAGTAACAGTTTCTGTTAGCACAGAAATTAGTTTCAATTATTGAATGTTTTCATAAAAAAACATTGTTTTGCTTAGATTGAGAACTAAATACAAAAATATATTGATTTTTATTGACAGAGACATTGGACTCATTCAGTGATTTACTTATAATTAGTAGGAGAATTTTTTAAGATATATAGACTGTTAACTAAGAATAGAATAAAAGTTAAAAGGGAAATTTTTAAAATCATGAGATAGCAAGGCTAAAGATGTTTACAAAGCTACAAAAAAGCGACATGTACAAGAGAATAAAATCCAGGTGTATCCATGTATACATATATCATGCACACAGTACCATAACTTTGTGTGCTTGTGTTCATCAGCTGTGCGGTAATACTAATAACAGACTCGCAAACTGTTTTTAGAACAATGTTGTAACAGATATCTTTCAGCAGTTATAATATATGAACCACTCTAGTTTGAAACAGTTATTACTGAGAAAAGCTCCTTTATATGTTTCATAAGTAATTGGTAATGATGAGGAATTTGCCCTACAATATAAAGACTTCAGATTTTCTGTGATTGGGTAAGAAGTGACATGGGCCAAAACAACTCAAGCATGTCTGTTCATCCTTTAGACCAGAAAGATGTTTAGGCAATGTGGCTGATGGTAATTCTTGTAGCTAAAGAATGCAAAATGATGATTGAAATGGTATTGATAATAAATATTTTGGTAGACCAACTTACTCAATTCAGTGTTTAATTCTGTAAATTGGCAAGTGACATTGTAATCTTTCTGTTTATATAAAATAAGTAGTCCAGTGTTGGACAATGGTACACTTTTTGCACTGATGTAATCGTATGGGAATAAAGTGCACTTCATTCAGTATTATGCTATATGATGCACAACCTATTTTTGAGACAATAACCCCTTGGTTAGTCCAGAGGTCTAATCTGAATTGTATTTCAAATGCTTTGGAAAATTTTTCAATGCTTTCTTAAGGATTGACCAGACAGGCTTCAATTTGTATTATAGTTGTAGCTGTTTAGTAAAAATAGTGGTTATCTAGTCCATCAAATGAGAACCAATGGCTACTATTGTAAGGAGTGAATTGTGACAGATTCCAAGATGTGATTAATGGCAAAGATGGGCCCAGTGTAATTTCTTTTAAAACGAAATTCTAGTAGCAAAGCATGGCATTTTCTTAAGATATGATATCCAATAGATTGATAATATAAGTCTAGACATTTATAAGTAACTGTGCAGTCATTTAACAAGTCTGTCTTGATTGTATATGCAGATACAATAGCAGATAATATTGATAATACATGCTACAATGTTGAGGAAGGAGCCAGCCAGCTACAGAAAGCCAGTGAATACCAGGTTGGTGATGTTTTTTATTTGAATAGGGAAATTTAATGATGCAAAGATTATTTTGAGAAAGCTAGTCACTTATCTTATATAAGGTTATTTCCCTGTCCTTCATTAATTGCTTCCAATAGTAGAAAACAGATATATCTCATAAATAACACATTTACAAATGTTTACTTGCTTTTTCCAATAGATTAGGTAAAGTATGTTAATGACTTACAGCTTGTTTTGAAAATGCAAAGTAAAATACACTGTTAGAATTAGTATCAAAATATTAGTCACATTATGGTAAAATGTTTAAGATTAAATTTTTTCTGTTCCAAAGAAAAATCTCATTTAATTAGTTCTACGTTACTGTCTGGCACACAGAAATGTAACCATAGTTCCATAATTAATCATTTTGAAATTTTTAATAATAACTTAGTGACATCAGTCTTCTCAGTCTCCCTTGTAAGTTCCAGTAAGAAGAGAGTGTGAGATAGAATTTCAACTGCATGTGACTTTTCAGAGCTTTTCAGGCTGAGTTTAATAGAACACAAAGTGTTATACTTACACAGTACATGCAACAAGCATTGCCCCACTAGACACGGGATCTCGAGCAGAATAAGAATGCAATGATATTTGGTATCTTGTGTTTTTCTTGCTAGCATGACTTTTCAGAGCTCTTCAGGCTGAGTTTGATAGAACACAGACTGTTAAACCTACAGTACATGGAAAAAGCATTGTCCTGCTGGATATGAGATCTCAAGGGCAGAAAGAGAATGCAATGATATATAGTTGTTTGTTTACAAACTTGCTATTTACTAATGTAGTCATGTCGAGGAATGGAATATCAAGAACACCAGAAAGATTGAGGCATAGTCAGTAGCATGTAAATGTATTTATGTTCCTGGGTTAATTTCCCAACTGTTTAGTGAAATTTTGTTGTCTTAGTTACTTAGCACTGGCTGAATCTGACAAGCCACAATTGTACTGGTACAAGGGAAAATAATATATAATAATATGGCGATAATTAGGTTAGTATAAGAAAATATTACATAAACTATGTAGAAAAAAAGTCAAACTGATAAAGGGCAATATTTTGTTTATTAGTGAATTGTAACTATACCAATAACATAGCACATTTTGTATAATATGGCACTTTCACCTGTGCATAGTTTGATACCTTAATTGTAGAAAGCTAATTTCATCAAACACAAATCACAAACTTCAAGGTTTCAATATTTCTACAAAATCACATATTAAATATATTAGTTTGTGCAATATACTGCACCAGTTTTTATGCCATTTCCAGTGACAAATTACAATTTAAACATTTTGTGAATTTCAGAAACTTAGTAATTATATTGCATTAACTCTTTTAACTACAGCTCTGTTGCAAGTTTATGTCATGACCTTTTAAAGAGTTTCATTCAAGATATAAATAAGCAGCTTTACTGTCAATGCATGTCAGTAAACTTGTCAAGAAAACATATTTTATAATGCAACTTTTAATGTCTCACTTTCAAAATAAGAATTTTTTAAAACTCAGTCTTCATTTTGTTGTGTCACATGACACATCTGAGTTCCAATTTGACCACTACAGAATTTTTTAACATTAAAATAAAGAATGCTGCCTGTTCCAATCAGTTATATACACAATGTATACATAATTACAAGCAATAATTTGAAATTTTCACCTCCTACTTTCTTTATTTCTGTCAAACCTACTAGAAAAGCCCTCCATTCTCTCTCTGACTTCCGAGATTGTTTGCTAATCAACTTTACATGGTTGATGGACATTTTTACAACCAATACAAAGAGCAGATTCTCCTCTATAAGAATCTTCCTAACGTTTTAAAGTTTTGATGGGTAGAGGATTCAAGTATTAGAAATTTCTTGTTTCATGATTGTTGTACTACTGCTTTGAACAGTTGATGGAATTTTGGTGAATGTTTTTGTAGCTTCTTAGCAAGCTGTATAAATTATAGTAATTTTGGAAATATTTGTTCTAGTGACCACTATGTGTTTATTATTTTAAAATGCATATTTGAAAAATAAATTATTTTAGATACTCAAATTTGTGATATTCAACAAGGTCTGGCATCTGATTACCTCACAAGTGCAAACCAATTTGGTAGCACAGCATGAACTATAAATCTTTGTTTTTGTGGATAATTTGTATTCATTGTTTATGATTATATTTTCTAACAAAAGTAATTAAAATATGAACATTAAAAATTTATCAGTTCAGCCTAACAAAACTTCAGAGAAATAATATGTCAAAGATATCACAAGTTGTAGAGAGGGGTCATATTCAACAATACACATGTGATGTGTCCTGGTTTTTCATTTTGCATGTGTGCCAGAAACAGCTAATGGCTTCTTCTATGATATATTGCATCGTTGCCTCAAAGGTCACTTCTCCAGTGGATCAAAATATAATGTACTGCAATAAAACCTTAAAGGAAACAGATGTGAAAAAGTTAAAATGATGAAGATAAATAATTTGGAACCTTCTGATTGACACTGAAGAGGAAGGTTATTATTTATTTTATTTCATATTTTCATTTCACTTTATGATGTAAAGAAGATAAGTAATGAAACAAAGTTTTATCAAAAAATAACTTTTGATATTCAGTTAGTATGTTCTAGGGGTTATGTAAAGGCAAGGAAATTAACAGACAAATCTTTAGCAGAAATAATTTATATTGAAAAAATATTCTTTTGTATAGACAGACTTCTGGTGTTTAATAAAACTTGGCAAATTTCTTGAAGATACTGTGACTTAACAGACTCAGTTTTGGTTTAGTAGATTGATGCTGTTGCTATGAGATGTGAAATCACATTCTTCAATAATACTCAATTAAAATGTTTTTAAAAAAGAAATACATTACTGCATACAAAATCTGTCACTGCAGCATTTTAATTAAAGGTTTGAAGTGTACTTTTGAGCACGTTTGTATAAAGCTTGATAGTAAACATTTTTCCTCTAAGAAAAACACCTGAAACTGTTTAATGCAAAATATATGTGTTGAAATTTATGGTGACATTCTTTCTTAAAGGTATCATCTGATAATCTAGTACAATTAAAAAATTTCATTATTACACACTGTGTATATATATATAAGTGAATTACATGTTTGCGTGATTAAAAAAAAATAAAACGTGTTAAGCTACTGTAAGATTACTTGTGATGTCAGTCACTTCTGTGTGTGAATATTGTTGCATTTTCAACTGTAGGCATATATTAACAAAGTGTGCATATTTCATGGGGCAGATGGATGCAGTCAAAATCATGTACCTCACCACGTTCAAAGGGAAATTTTCTTTGTAAATACTGCAATAAAAGGTGGCCATCTTTGTTTATTTAGAGCAATAGTCTCATAAACAAGTGGTTCTACCAGATTCAACAAGGAATAATTCTTTTATCTCATGCAACATGATGAAATCTTGTTTTCCTCTAAAGTATTGTCTGTAGCAATATTAAACAAAGTGCACATTTATCACATTGGAAATGTACATCAGACAATTAAGAATGACATGATTAAGGATGGTAAGTGTTGTTATGATTTACGGAATTCTGACCCTTTTGAAATCTTGATTCTTTATCATAGGTAGTATATACCAGGAAATTTGATGTTTTTGAAACAACTGATATTAATATTGTTTCAATAGTAATTTATGTTCAAACGTAGCTGCCTTCATTAACATTTTCATTTAACAGTGTTGTTGAACTACTGTTATACACTTGTTTTACTAGAAAACTGTATTACTTGCTTCAAAAGACATTATGCTTTATCAGCTTAAGTATTATGCGAAATGAATGATTGATTTAATTTGATTATAATGTGAACATGCCTTTAATAGTTAAGTTTAAATTATTTAATTATAATTTTCTTATATAATACGAGAAACAAAAATAAGTTTGTGCTTGTGTTGTGTGTGTGTGTGTGTATATATATTACTACTAATATAATATATTTTTGATTTTTCAGAAAAAGTACAGAAAAAAATGTGTTGCTTCATTATTATTTTGTTAGCAGTTGGTTTAGTGGTGGCACTCATTGTTGGCTTATCTGTGAAGAAGTGAGAGTTTTTCAGTTAAATCAAACAGAAACTTGTACTTTTTTTGTCAGATGAAGACTGATGTTGTACTCTATCAAAATGGTATGTCATTGAATTTATTAACTAATAAGAGGCTTTAATCAGAATATAAATAGATTCTGTTAACAAGTGATGTAAAAACAACTTCAGATCTGACATGATTAAGAATATGAAAATATTTTTTTCAGTTAAACATCAATTGTTTATATATATGTGTGTGTGTATACTAAATGTGCAAGATAGTAAAAATGTTTTTGTATAAGACTCAGTTCTGTATTTGATTTGTATTTAACTAAAAAATGTTTGCTTATTACTCTATTTTTCCAAAAAATCATCACGTAGTATATGTATCAAATACAAACTATCAGTAACTGTTCACTTGTGTACATATGTGTAATATTCTAATTAATGTGATATGCCCAAGCTAATAGCAAACATTGGCATGGTTAGTAGCCTATATGATCAACTAAGTCTAGTTATTAATTACTAACTAATTTTTGTAACTAGATACTAATTATTAATTACTTTTTATTCTGTTTTGGTTGCTTCTGCCATCCTCAGGACAGTCCAGAGAAGAACTATTTTCTGTGTTGATAGTGGCCAGGGTGGAAGTCTGGTGTGTTATCCACTTGACTGGGTTCTCTCCCATTAGAATCTGAATCAACTAACTATTTTAATCTTTTCAAGGTTTTGTGTGTTATCAGTTATGTGGAAGTAAAAGGTTTCTTTTGCTTTTATTTTTCTCTTATGTGATTAAAATGCTGTTAGTTCAGCATTATTTCATTTAATTGGTTTATCATATTCTCTAACATGAGGAGCTATTACATATAGATCAGAATTACAATCTTTTATGTCTGCTATGCTCTTGAATTCCAACTTTTGTCGGTATTTTTGTATCTTCATTACAGAACGTGCTGTGGATGGGGTTTATGCTTTCTGTTGGTTATTTAGGTGATTTGGTGTGATAGTATTACATTTTGACATCTAAATCCTGTTCTGACTGTTATTTACACATCCTCTGTAAACTTATGTTTTCAGGGATACCTGCGAAATAAGATAATAGGGCTTTAATTTAATCTTTAGTTTTTCTCATGTTTATTCTCTGTGTTTATCCATTTTTAAGGAGAGTTGTTGTGTTTTTCCTATCTTCTTAGTTTCTTCAGTGTTATAAATCTTGTTCATCACTAAGCAGTCCAGAAAAAAAAAAGCTCTTTGGTTGGCTTTAATTAACCAGACTATAATTGATATTCACTGAATTTTTCTGTCTCTTCTTTCACAGAATATTGTCATTAAAGACATCTTAATTTTGTTTTTTATTCTCCAGTGGTTGAATGTCCTGATACACAGTGTATACTAATAGGAAAAACTAATAGATAAATTGATAATTGACCAAATTATTCTCACTCTTTTCAATGATATGTTTTGTTTTTAAAGATGTAGAAAATGTGTCAGTAGAGTATGTTAAGGAAGTTAATAACCATGCAAAATCAATAATATCAATTTTAATGTGCACCATTATACAGAATATTTTCTATAAATAAGAACTATCACTCTGATAAGTTGCTCTGATTAGTTTTTGATTATATCCATATACTTAATCGGTCTTTAAAGTTTGTTTCAACAACCCTTTAATGTTCAATATATACTCCTCTGTAAAAAGATTTTGCATGTTCTTACATGAGGTACTTATGCTTATGTTCCATTCCTAAGTTACTCTAATGTGAGTTTTATGTATACTATATAACAACTAAACTAATTGTTGAAGGTGAAAATCATTATACTTACATTATTAAACACTAAAGTATAATAAAAGTTTTTCTTAAAAAATTTTAACTGAGATGCATTGAAGTGCATGTTTTCGAAATGTTGATAATTTGATTCTGTGTTTTCTCCAATTAACAGTTCTTCTTTGTTAAGGTTACTATTCTAACATCAAAATGCATTATAACCAACAATTGGACTACACAGGAATCAAACAGCTCTGACCATTTTTCACCATTTACAAGACTGACGGAACCAAAGAGCTCTGAGAATTTTTCACAATTAACTGGTTTGATGGAATCAAACAATTCTGACCATTTTTCACTATTTAATGGTCTGATGTAATTAAACAACTCTTACCATTTTTTCACAATTTATTTGTCTGATGGAATTAAACAGCTCTGACCATTTTTTTACTATTCACTGGTTTGATGGTATCACAGAGCTCTGACCATTTTTCACTTTATACTAATTTTGGTGGAATCAAACAGCTCTGACAGTTTCTTACTCTTTGCTGCTTTTATTTATGCCTTAGAATGTTGTCTGTGTTGTTTTTATTATATTAAATATAATGTGTACTGTGTAGACATGTTTTTGTTGTTCGTACCAAAAGATATTTTTCTGTTTTTATATGAATTACACTAAAAAATGAGATAAGAAATTATCTGATTTCTTTAACTAAATATATGTAAATATAAGCCTGTATTTGAAAAAAAGTATAGATTACACATGTTTTTATGTTATAACTTTCATATTCTTTGAAAACTTGTTACAGGTGTTTAATTTGCTTCAGAGGTTTTTAGTTTATTCAAAATTCATGTAGCAAAATATTTAGTAATCTGTGCCAGTAGTCTCAGACTCGGCAACTGCTTTGTATTTATGATCTTATGTTATTTGTGATTTGCAAAATAATAAACATTTTAGTAATTTAAAAGCACACATTTTGTTTATGAACATATAACTTAATGATTATAATTTGTTGATAAAACAAACTTTTGAAGGATAGCCCTTTCTTCAGCAGTGTGAACAGAATGATCTATCTTCTCAAATGTGCATGTAGATTTTGGAGTGTGTTTAGCTGAATTCTGGCTATTTGTGAGCCCAATTATTTTTTAAATTTCAAATAGTTACTTCATAGATTTCAAAAACAGTAATCAACTATCATTTCATTATATGGAATGCTGTTACCTTTTTGTTATTCATTGGTGAAACAATCTTATTGGTATAGTATAATTCTGTGTATTTAACTGTCAGGTGCTATTAAACAAGTTTCATAGAATATTATGGCTTTTTAAACTTAAAAAAAAATGAAGTCAAACTTCACAGCACCAGAATGATTGCTGAGATGGTTATTATACTAATATAGTAAATTTTTTCTTATTGTTGATTTATATTCATCAGTAGATGAAAAGTGTAGTATGCTTGGAGCCCTGTAGCTATTGAAATAATAAAAGGAAAACAATTATGTTTCTTCTACATCTGGTGCAGCCTAGTGCACTGTAAAATATAGCACTTCTGATAACTGAACCATATGTAATATTTCCTTTTACTCTTAACTGGAAGTTGGCTGATGGCATGTTTACTTCTATGTAGTCAAGTAAGACTGGTTTTCTTAATAATTATGGTGAGTAGTCATTCATCATTAGGTTTGATGCAGAAACCAGGTGAAGTCATTACATGTAAGATTAATGTAATTTTTAATTGTAACTAAAAGCTGCATCTCTGTGATTGAGAAATAAAATTACAAATGACTAGCCTTTTCTGTTAGTCTTTTTTTTTTCCTCAAATGACTCAAAATCGAGTAGGTTGTTAGTATACGGATATTATGGTTTGTTACATTAAACATGTGGTTTCATTTCTTTATTCATGTAATATTCATGAGGTGGCTCAGCAGTAATCTGCAGGTTTATAACCCTTGGTGAGCAGAGCACAGATAACTCATTGTGTATCTTTGTGATCAACAGCAAACAAACATGTAAAATTTATTGAACGTTTTCATATGCATTTGACCTATAAAGGTTATCAAAATGTATCAGTTTGCTTAGCTTTTTGATTGTGAACAAGGGAAAAGCTAAAAACCAAATTTAGAATTGATAATTTGAGTGCTTTGCCTGTAAGAAAGAAGTTATTTCAAGTTAATGGAAACGTAACTGTAATTAAGCATTATTAGATAGATGCTCTACTAGGGTTTGAGATTAAAAAACAAATAGTCGAGTTAAGCAAATGGCCTACTGGTTTGCTTTAAGTGTACGAACAGGTTAGAAAAGTAGTGGGCCTGGCATGGCCCGGTAATTAGGGTGATTGACTCGCAATCTGAGGGACGCAGATTCAAATCTCTGTTTCTGAACATGCTCACTCTTTCAGTTGTGGGGATGTTATAATGTGATAGCCAATCCCACTATTTGTTAGTAAAAAAGTAGCCCATGAAACACAGTGGGTGGTGTTGACTAGCTGCCTTCCCTCTAATCTATCATTGTTAAATTAGGGATGGCTAGCCAGATAGTCCTCGTGTAGCTTTCTGCGGAATAAAAGAAAAAACAGAAGAAAAGTAGTTATAAGGGATTTTTGGTTTTGCTTTGAAGAGAGTAAGATGTACCTTCTTTGAATTGAAAAGATCTGTAATAACTACCACTCTTAGGCCTACTGCATTTGTGGCAAAGTACTTCACTGTCACACAGGAAACCCTCCTGAAGAGTTCGTGATAACTAGCATACTCTTGAACTTTCTACAAACGTTTACTAAACTAACTTTTTTTTCATGTCGGCTGTTAACTACTTCTAATTTCAGCTACAAGATTGAAAACAAACATTCAGTGTGCTTCAACAAGCACAAGTCAACCGCAAAATGACAAGACCCCTTCCACTAGCATTTGATATAGTAAGTCTAGTGCAGGTGGCAATAATATAAATACTAATAGTAAGTCTAACTTACAATTAAGTCCTGAATTGGATAACTCAGTACTTGTTGCTAAGAGAGAACTTAAAACTATTACAAAAAGCATAAAATGGTAAGTAGATCTATGGATAATCATAGCTCTCCTGACCAAGAAGTAAGTGATAGTGACATCTAAATCAGTAATGTATATGAAAAACCAAAAACACCACTCTGGAAGACAACTCTAAATAAAACTCAGGAACAGGATAACAGTAACCAAAGTGAAAGGAAAAACAACCCAAAACACACGCGAACATAGAAGAACTTTCCAAATATTCAATAACAAGCAAAAGTACCCATCCCCAGTGTTGGGAAAAGTTTCACTTAATCTGTCAATTTAAATTATTTCATGGACTTTAAAAAGGTTAATCGTATCAAACGCTTAGCTAAGAGCGGCGTACTAATTAAAAACCGGCTGATCTAAACAGCTTTTTACAAGAAAAATTCAAATACGTCTGCCATGGCTTTTGTCATTAGAGGAATACACTAAAACATACAAATACAGCAAATTCAACAAGAACTTATAAACAGTAACATTGAATACCCCAAAATTGAAAGAATTATATCTACACGCGTACGGAAACCAACAAACAGTTGAGATTTACGCGGGCAACCCTCACGATATCCAGATTTGGATATCAAATGTTATCATTTTCTGGTATAAGAGATTTCAGGTGGAGGAAACAGAATTATTCGCAGTGGTTGTGACACAGCGTTACAATTGCCAATGGTATGGTCATGTAGCTGCAGCCTGTAAATCTCTTCCACAATGTGCGGGCTGTGGTCGTGACCATCACATAACACAATACAAAAACGAACACGAAAACCCATTCTGGTGTAATTGTAAGGAGACATACAGCCAACTAAAAAAGCTGTCAAAAGGGTATTAAAACAATATGCAATATATACCATAACATACCAGAATTAAATACGCGGCACAAAGAAGCAAACCACCCAAGTTAAACTACCTGTCATACAACAAAGAAAAACATATGCAGCCGCTGTAACAAACCAAACACATAGTTGAGAAAACACAACAAAATAACACGCATGAACCTGCACAAGAAACTAGATCACACCGGGAAAATATTCAAATAGCAGAACAACAACAAACCACAAATAATGAAAGTAACCCAATATTGGAAGCAACTAAAAACATTATTTGTAAAACAAATATAATAGTTTAAAATTTGGAGGTTATACAACAATTAGAAAATATAGATTAGATGGAAATGAATCAAATAGCGGTATTGCCGCAATTTATAAAATACCCTGTCTGTAATAAAGATAGAGGCTGAATCAGTAAACGAATCCATAGTAACAGGTATTCATATCTCGTACAACAATAGTCGGAGTATATTGTTTTCCATCAAAGATAATATAATTTAAATAAGTATAATAAAAAATTAATAATTATAGGAGACCTCAATACTAAACATCAAAATTTTGGTTGTTATATAAACACAAGGAATGGAAGAAGACTATTAGAATTTCTGGCAACTAGTGATTATGTTTTGTTAAATAATCTCACCCTGACACACACACACAAGTTTTTATTATAATACCAGTGATATAGTAGATCTTTCTATTAGTTGATCAAATATTATTAATAAGTGCTTCAGTTTTAATGTAGATAGTGATCATTTCCGTATAACGTGTCTTCAATCTGGTACTCCATCATAATAAACCAATAAGGAAAGAAAAGGTTAATTACAAAATAAGCATACTGGGAAGAATACGCAAACTTCCCAGATCAATTATTACCCGAGTTTACAATAAATATAACAGAAACGTCATGTGATTTGATGATTATTGTCAAACAACTTATGAGTACCTAACCAAAGCTGCTGAACAAATAAAACCAATATACAACCAAAAACAGATGTCAATCACATACACAAATTATAAACATGATAATAGAATGCCGCCAACCGAGAAGAGAGTTTATGAATACAAGAGATCAATATATCAAAACTCAAATTAATACCCTAAGATATGAAGTAAAACAAGATACATGGGACAGCCTCTGTTCAAAACTAAACGATCACACAGAACCTAAGAAGTTTGGTCACAGCCAAAACACCACTAAATTAGATCCGACCTTAAATTACGAAAATAAAATAGCATATACAAATGAACAAAAAGCTAATGTTTTTAAAGAACAGATGAGAAAAACCCATAATGAACCAGACTTGGACACACACTAGTTTAATACAGTAAACGAATATATTGAACAAAATCGACAAATACGAGGCCTGTGAGAAAAGTATCCGACCTTTGGCCGGGGAATA